CATCCCTGCTGGTACTCCTCACTCCCGACCTGCAACCTCCCTACTCCCCCCAGCCCTGCTGGAGGGGGCCTCCAGCTGCTCCTATTATGACAGGGCTGGAATGTGGTGGCTCTGGTTTGTGTGGGTGGCAGCAAAGTGAGTCTGGGCCCATCAGGCTGGAGGAAGGAGGAGGGGGATACTTGTAGCACCCCTTGCCTGAGGCTGAGGCTCATGCGCCGTGCCAGGTGGTATGGCTACACCTTTCACCTGGGCAGCATCTTTCAGGTGCTGACCACCCCTGTGAGCACAGGCACTGGCCTCTGGTGCCACTAGCCTGGCCATGCAGCTCTCCACTGCTCCCAAAGAGCGCCCCCACCCCCTTCCCCCGCTGGAGGAGAGGCACCTCCCCCCTGCTCCTGTGCCCTTCTGCAGCCCTTATGCCTAGACACCATTCCCCACTGTTGGCAGGCACCCATTCCCTCTCTCCACCGTCCTGCCACCCCCGACAGTCCCCAAGCCCTGGCCCTCCAACACCCTGCACCCCATAGACCTACATACATGCAACTGCTGAGGCTCCTTCCACCACCCTGTCTGGCTGGATGTTGGCCATGTGTGTGCATGTGCAGATGCACATGGTGCCCTCTGCCTCCAGTAGTTCTCCCCCTGATCCCAATAGTGGAGCAGAGCAAAATCCTGGACATTTGCTCAGATTGAAAAAAACTGCCCAGAGAGAGATCGGAGGATCCAAAAAGAGGGCATGTCCGGGAAAACCCGGACGTATGGTAACCCTGCTTATGGTGGTCACAGTTTTTAAGTCCGTATTTGCCAGAATTGTCACACTTTGGTATTTGAGATTTTTTCAGTTCTGTCTATACAACTCAGAGGATCAGTTAACTGTGTTATGTCAGATAGCAGCAGGGTAACTTAACAATTTTAGTTTTTTTATTCAAGTGAGGGCTGTGTCCTCCTTTTATACATTTACCTTAGGCTAACTTTGGAAACTAGTCCATGGTTATTTAGTTCAGGATTTGTATGAAATGCTGTCAAATTTCAAAATCCAAGTTGTATTTATTTATTTAATAACTTTTTTACTTTGCTAATCAAAATTGATCTGTAGTCTTGTGCTGTCTCCGCCTTTTTAAAATTTAGGTGTTTCCAAGTTAAATTCTTCTCTTAAAAATGTGCAAAATACATTTGTTCTAATCTTTACAGGGAATAATTCTACAAGGCTTACACTAATAGTAATCCTAATAGTAGAGTTGAGAGGCATATATTGTTTTTATCTTATTTGTTACTAATTAATCTGATCTGTTTCACAAATTAAATGATGGCATAATTTTCAACCTGTACTCGGTAATGCCTGTGTAAATCCAGAATACGTACCTGTATATTAAATAAAGGGAATATCATGGAAATTCCTTGCAAGCATTACGTTTCAGGGTTTTAATAGGGTTTTACTTGTATGCTTATGGTAAATATTGGATCAAATACTAATTTGTAATACTATTATGATGTTGATTTGTTTGTTTCTGTATTATCCATGACTGGAACTGCCTCATGTTGTTTCTTGTTAGTCTGTGGCATGTTATGAACCTGTCGGTTCATTTCAATAAATTGAATTTTTGGGCCACCTATTGTAGTGACCATCATAACTCGTTGTACATGTACAAAGAACATTTAAGATGTAAAGAACATTTGAACTTGAATGTCATTATTATTTGAGAGTAGGGAGTTTAGCTGTACATTAAACATCAGGCCTGATACCCTATGTATGGATGCTCAGTTTGCCTAGCAAAGAAGGGTGGAAAATAGGACATTCATAACAAATCACTGTGGTGTCCTTCAAAATTACTCAAGGTAATTTTTTTCCCTAAGATGCACTTAACCTTTTCATTAAAAAGATATAATTTATGAAAGCAAACATCTAACTGTTATTTAAATTGGGTGCCTGATTTTTGGGCCAGTTGTCAAATAGTAGTGGTGATCATAAAAGTAAATTGTTCAAAATAGGATAAAAAGGTTCATTTTGAGCGGTAGCTTTTAGATAACATCCTTGGGAAAATAAAGCATTTTTTCACATAATTAAGTAGGTCACATCTTACAGACTCTGTCTCACGGAAACAACAAACTTACTTTGAACGTTAAACTGTCACGGGTTGGTTTTCATATATGGTAGGATAAGGATTTGCATACAGGCATTGCCATGAAGTACTAGGTACGGTAATTTAAGGTAAATCCATGTCCTGGTTTAACTTAGAGCCGAATGCTTCTTGTTCATTCCCTTAGCATCATATTTAAGTGAATTCAGCACCAATGGGGACGCTATAACTTGAGTGTTATATTACATTATGGTTTCACTGTCTTTCTTAATTAAAGTGTAGATTAAGTGCTTTTACAAATCCCACTTCTGAGTGACAGAGATGAAATTGCTGTGCAATTATTTTCATGTACGTTGACAATATTAACCTTCAAATTAAGTCTTGTATGATTCAAAATTCATACATACTCTCCTGTAACTTAAGGTTCTTGGGAGTAATTTTTAATGTTTGACTTCTTATTTTATTTTAGAGAGAACAGTAGTTTCCTATTTTCTGTTCCTGTTATCTCTGATCTACAATGAGTGCCAAATCTACTATCGGTAAAGAAATTTTTGCCCCACATGATGAAAGGATGTTGGGAGCTGTCCAAGTGAAAAGAAGAACAAAGAAAAAGATTCCTTTTCTAGCAACTGGGGGTCAGGGTGAATATTTAACCTACATCTGCCTGTCAGGTAAGACAAATTATTTTCACATCCAGCTATTTTTTTTGCTTTATCTTTTGAAGTTTCTTTAGTTGATTGGATGTCATCACTTCCTATAAGAAGTATTATGACTTGCATTTTAATAATACAGGCAGTGAGTTATGATTGTTACATCCTTAATGTTCATAACTTTGAATGGAGCAAGTACTGTATTTACTTGAATATAAGATGAGTGTGTGTGTGTCCTCCCCCCCCCCCCCCCCCCCCCCCGCCA